GGAAGACACTTTTTGAGCCACCTTTGGCAAAGTAGAAAGGAACGATTGGCCATCGGTGATCGGTCCTGTGGGAACAATGCTCCGTCCTCTCGAGGACGCGTGGTCAATGGTCTAACCGCTAAGGCATGCAAAACGTAAAGAGCATGCCCCTCGCTATGGTTCATGCCTACGCAAAACCTTGCCGAGGCAGCGAGGGGAAGAAGGGGTAGCAAACTGGGGGTAGGTTCACCCGTTCGAGATATCTAATAGACTAGTGCACCACATACATGTGTTGACTCTTCACAAAGTGAGTTTTGAGCACTCCAGCTGGATGTTGACTTATCCCAAGAGACTGTTGAAACCAATCCAATGAGATATCAGTGAGCCTTTTTGCTTCTGTTTCGTAGGGGTTTGACTGGATGCAGTATTTCGGAGCATGGGCATCTACTGCGGTACGTCGGCGCTGCACATCACTATCCCGCACTTTTTTATTGTACTTGTTTGTAGCGGAACCCTAGAGTACATGTGGGTTAAAAATGCGGCGGTTCGAGATACAGACAACTTTGCTGTAGTGGCCCCTCAATTCGGCCGACTGAAAAGCGCCTGTGACCCTGATTAGCGCCGGTGAAATCGCTGAACACAGACTGAATCACCTAAATAGTCGTTCTGTGCTTTGGAGTGGCGCCGGTCCCTCGGAACATCGCCGGTCGATTAACGGCGGTATTGAGCGCCCTCCACTGCTGTATATCATGTGCCCATCTTGGCGCGGAAGTTTCTAATGCCAGCGAGTATCGGGCCTTCGCATCGCTTGAAAGCAGACGATGATGGACGACTTTGTTGTGCAATCATATGCGGACAGAGGACAGAAAAAAACACGAAAATAGAAAAGACGGCCAGCCAACAAGCATTACACCTTGGCTCTAGTCAGCACTTTCGCCCTCCCCCCCCCTCCTTTCCTATGGTGCTCATTGAACGAAACACGCCGCAGAAGAAGAAGGGGTCTGGAAAGGCCAGAGGCCAACACAACCCCGTAGGCGAGGAGAACACCTTCAAGACCATCTTGAACGATGATTCGGACCGAGACCGTCGAAAGAAGGGCAAGGGCAAACAAAAATCCTCGTCACAGCAGCCGTCGTCATCATCTTCGCGCTCGGTGACGTCGCCGGCGGCAAGTGGCGGCACGACGCGCGGCCGGGGCGCGGGGGGG